GGCACTGGGTAAACACCAGAAAAAAAAAAAGAGTCCTTATGAAATCCCCCCGTCAACCCTTGCAGACACAGAATCAGGAGTTTTGGAGTATTTTTGGGCCAACACAGGAGCTCTGTCTCCACAAGCACAGCCCTCACGGAAAGGACATTTTGGGGGAATCAGCCCCAAATCAAGTTGTTACCCTCCTTTGTTTGGAGGGCCCCCCATCCTCTACTCATCTGCTCCCCTACCAAATCATCGGCCCCCACAGTGACACTGGGGTGCCCCAAATGACACCATCCATCCCCAGATTTCCCCACATCACCCTTTTTATTCCACCACCCAAAAAACACCTGCAAAAAATGAAAAAACCTGCCCCATGGAGCAGCTCATTACTTTATTACTTTCATAACTGCCATTTACATAGGTACATGCACCCCGAAGAAAAGGGGGGGCTCTGTTCAAAAGAGACAACAGGGACAGCACCCACAGCCCCTGTCCCACAGGCTGTGTAGGATGGTGCCATGGCTCTTGCTCAGGCTCTGCTCTGCGATGTTCCCCCTCCATTCCCATGCTGGGATAGGCACCTCAGTGCACAGTGTCCCCAGTCCCCGTGGGCAGGGGGTATCTGTTGAGCATCATGAGATGCCTGCAACAAGTCACCTGAAAAACAGAAATCTCAAATTATGTTTCAGCATGTTAAAAAAAAACAGGCACAGAAGAACATATACAAATGCCATCAAAGGGAGATGATGTAACAATTGGTGAGGTTATAGATCCCTGCAGGGTTTTACTTGGCAGGAGGAGTGGGAAGGAAGAAGATCAAATCCCCAGCGCTGCAATCCATCAGCCTGCCAAAAAGGACTGGCAGATTTGCTGATGCTTTTGGCTGTCCCAAAGCATGCAGAGAGGAGCAGGTTTTTATGCTGTCTCAACTGTTCAAACTGAAAACCACAAAATCGGTGATGCTGTCAACTTCTGGGAGTTGCACTGTCCTTATGTCTTTGGGAGGAAATGGACTTTCTTTCTTTCTTTGTAGAAGGTAAAAAGTCCTCTTGCTGATGAGTTTACTACCTAGAACAGCAAGAAAGGATGCGAGGTACAGCAGAAGGGATGTGAGGTAGAGCAGAAGGGATCTGAAGATCCCCTATGATGGAGAGTTCCACAAATGCATTTTGAGAAAGTTTTCTCTTCCAGAAACCTCTTTCCAACTGCAGTAAAAATTTACACATCATAGGATAAGGAAAAAGGACACCACTGAAGCAACAACTCACCAAAAACACCAAATGGCTCCTCTGCAACCTTGGTTGCTTCTGGTACAGATGCTAGTGCCTTAGAGCAAGGTTCTCAAGTACTACTGCAAGCTCTTTTAAAAACTTATGTACTGAAAAAGCAGAAAACTTTGATTGTGAATATCTGAACTCTTACAAACACTTCCTTATTCTCTTTCAGCACTGCAATATTTTCATGGTATCATTTAATTGTAAGTGCACAGAAACAGAAGATTGTGCTAACAGGAGACAATAAAAGGAGGGGAGTAAGTTTCACATAGCATCACATGCTCCACAACAGACCTTATTTTAAATATTTGTTTTAAAAATATTCCATAGAAAAAACAGAGAAGGAAAGTTGGCACAGTCTTGATGTCAACCTTAAAGTCCATACTACAAGTACCTTTGGAAAAATCCAGACACACATCATTGACATACCTAGTGCTTGCAGACATCTACAGATTCATTCCTCTTCCTTTTCCTTTCATGATGGAACAAAGGGCAACTGTGGTGAAATGGTGGCAGCCAACATAAGGCCTAGAGAGGAAAAAACCATCAGGCTGGACAGGAATCCAAAGCTTCCCTTGTTGGTGCAGCTTTGTGAAGACTACAGCCAAGCCGAGGTAAAAGTATTTTGCATTGTCTTTGTTACAGATGGTGATAGAGGCTGCTAGAGCTTTGTGTTGTTCAGACAACCCTGCCTCTAACTCACTGGCAGCTTTGAGTTTCACTAGAACTGCTCTGGTGGAAACACAAAGGTGAGGGACACAGATACCCACATGCTTTTTCTCGAGCCTATGTACAGCCAGATCTTCCTCACCCTATTGGTTCCAAGTTGGATATTTTTTGGTTAAAGTGTGCAGCAATATGTCTGCCCTTGTCAATGCCTTCTTGCAAAAACGGAATTATTTTTATTTTTCTAGGCCACTTCTCCAAATGGCCAAGATCATAGAATCATGGAATAGTTAGGGTTGGAAAGGACCTTAAGATCATCCAGTTCCAACCCCCCTGCCATGGGCAGGGACACCTCACACTAAACCATCTCACCCACGGCTTCGTCCAACCTGGCCTTGAACGCTGCCAGGGAAGGAGCATTCACAACCTCCCTGGGCAACCCATTCCAGTGCCTCACCACCCTAACAGGAAAGAATTTCCTCCTTATATCCAATCTAAAAAGATCTGAAGATCTAAAAGATCTAAAAGATCCTTTGCAACTGCAATTGTGCCACTAAAGGACACAACTGAGGCTGCCTCCCAGCTCCTGACCATTCTAAGATTTAACAGGCACATGCTCTATTCCATCTCCCAACAGCTAAAATACTTAACGCTCTCAGTCTGAGAGCACAACCCTGTGCCTGCCCACATGTGCCTGTTGTTTCTACAAGGAGCTGCTGAGCATGCCCGTGAGCATGGCACAGCACACACATCAGTTTCACCAACATCGCTGGTCAGTTAACACGATTTCTGAGGCTTTAAACCAAAAACCGTATCTTGACACTCTGCCATAGTGGAAGTGATCCCTAACTCAAACTCTACAAAAAAGCAGCAACACAAATTACAAACACACAGCAGCAACATGTCCCAAAACATTTATACCCAGAACAAAAAATAAACCAGCTCCATTGTGCGGTAGAGGCAGGCAGAGAAAAGGGTCAGCATTCATAGCCCCTACAGAGCATGGCATTATCCTTCTATTTCTGAACCCATCTGTTAGATTTAAATATTGCAGCACTACTACAGCAATGTTGAGAGTAGGCGATGACAGCCCTGCTGCTGGACCTGCTATTCACTGACATCATTTACTCAGCAGGACACACAGACAGAGGGGCATGTTTTGCCACACACAACTCTGATTTCCTGAATATTTATGTTTCTTAAAAATAGCCATTTGCAACATACAGTCACTACATTTCTACTGGCATCTAGGTGCTCAAAACTGAACTATACTGACACCACGCATTACCAGAAATTCAGTTATATATATAAAACCAAAAGGCTACTTCAAATTTGCCCACAAAATTAGTATGAGAAGAAACTGTCCAAAATACATTACCAGGCAGTTCTTAATTTATCATAGATGAAAGTCATGCTTTTACCTGCAAGTAAAACATTCCTACCTATCAAGGGACCAGTTCAGGTACGGGGCATGCTCTGTTGACTGCAATTTTTGATCAGCTTTCCTGCACCAGCAGCAAATCTGCCTTTTCTCTGGGTTCCACGCAGAGTACCTGCAGCACCCTTGAACTTGCTTCTGCTGGCTGCAAACACCAGAGGCTCTTACTGGGGTACTGGCCACTCACCTGCCCAGTGCTGGTCCCAGAGCAGAATGGAACCAAGCAACCGCTGCTCCTGTCCCAAGCAGAGGAAAACAGTAGTTATGGACTGCAGGACAGAGATGAGGGGTTAAATATAGACACAGGGAGCATGACAATGACAGAGAGAAAAAGGGACAGAGAGCAGCACTGGGGGAAAACCAACTGTAATGTGCAGTGAGCAGCCCTGAGTGTGCCTGCCCTGTAGGACTTGAGGACAGATTCTATAAAAGACAGTAAGGATACAAAAGTAGCCACTGAAAGAACATTTTAAAAGCAGCCACACTGAGGAAAAGCAAGAGATGACAGCAAATTAAAACCCAGACACAGAAGGAAGAAGTAGGACAGAGAATGGGGAAGAAGGGTTGAGCAATAGGGAAAGATACAGATAGGAACAAAATGATGGAGAAGCAATGGGATGAAGGACCTGCTTCTAACAATCTGTCACTCCCGATGTCAATTCCTTGGCCTCAAAAACTGGACATGGCACAAGACAGAGCAATAGGAGAGTGAAGGAGAAGTCACAGGGCACTTCTTAAGAAAAAAGAGACAGCAAAACAGTGATGGAGAACGGAGTAGGGATTGGAAACAAGAGAGACTGAATACCAGTCAGAATGTGAGAGCTAAAAAGGGATGGGAAGCTGGATAGAAGAATGGAAGACAATCAGGACCAAACCCCACTATTTATTACACAGTGTGGCTAATTAAATGTAAATAATCTCCCACCTTGAATGGAACTACCCACCACAGTGGCTTAGCCTGCATTTGTTTCTTGGCAGGGTACAAAGGACTGTAAAACCCATGATAAAACAGAGGGACAAACGTGCTTACAGGAGCAAGGTAAATTAATTATGTGCACAAGATTTTATACTGTCATACTCCTATCTTGTATGGCAAATTAATACTCTGATCTCTGAATTTCATTTCTGCCAATCCCACATTTATCCATGCTTCTCCATTAACTATCTTGAGTGTTAGATACAGGGTTGTTTGAAGATGCTGAAGATGCAGGTTCCTCAGAAATCCTACACCGAGTTGAGCAAGAAGAGTTGAAATAAACAATAAATCTTAACCACAGATTACTTCAGTGGACACAGCATGTCAGGGCAAGTATGGGGGTACCCAGAACACAGAGCTCATCTTGAATTTGGTCCAAGGTGCAAAGCAAGCATCGACTGCTTTGGTTGTCTGGCTTTTTCAAATCAATAGTAAACCTCAGTTCAGTTCCAGGCCTGTGCCATGAAGAGGGAAAAGACATTTCTACATGTGTAACAGCTTTATGTTCTATGCCAGTATTAATACATTGCTTTCCCCTGCTGTGCTTCTTGGATATTGTATTGTATTTTCACTGGTCATGAATAAATGCATATGAAGAGTTTTTACTGTTACTGACTTCAGTTATTTTGGGGTTGAAGGAAAACCAAGAAAACATCATACATGAGGTAATTCCATTTTAATAGTCTCTGAATTTCCAGTATTTGAAAGGAAAAATAGTGGGGTAAGTGCAGGAGTACGCAGCCATTACCAACAGAGCTGCACTAGTAAGCTTCTCAATGTTGTTTTTTGGTATTTTATGAGGAAAAACATTGAGATTTAAGATCGCTCATCCATCAGTTCTTGGGGGCCAGGGATATAGAAGGAACCTGACACTCTTCAGCTGCCCAAGGACTACAGCTTACAGTTATTCAATATCTTCTGGTCTCACTGGATGAGGTAGAGGTATAATTGATTTCTTCTCTGCATCTCTGGAAAGAGCTTTTCTCATATCTGTAGTAAAAGGAAAAAAAAAAAAAAAAAGCTATTCTAGTAAGCCAGCCAATGCACAAAGCCATAGCGAATGAATTCTGCAGTGCAGTAAGATCAGTTTTAATTTTCAGCAGCAATGTTCTAAATTGGAATATAACATTGCATGAAACTCAACTGAATGGAAAGCAAATGGCTGAAAGGTTAAATACAGAAATTAGGGTGTCTGCAACACTGGTAGATGTCTGTTCGTAGCTCCTGTTTTTCACAGTGATATACAGCATGACCAGATAACCCACTGGGGAGGATCTTAAAGGAAAGAAAGTCTAGAAAGAGGAAGCTGGTACTTAAGTTTTGTTAATACAATTAACATTAACATACTTGAAATCCCATGTTCCTTCCTTTTAAACTGAAAATGCCATCCAGTTCTCTCACACTGTTGACCACTGACAGTTGGAAATTTGTAGTTAGACAACTGAGAAAAAGAGTTTAAAGTCCCTTTTGTGGGAATAAATGAGGAAAATACTGCAACTCCTTCCCTCAGTAACAGTAGCAAAAAGCCCAGCCACTGGATGTGAGCATTCCTCAGAAAGAAAAACTAGGTTAGAAATTGCATTTTTATTTTCATCTTACATACAGGATGAGTGTCTTTGTACTTTCAGTTTATTCTTGTTCTGTATTTTGCCACAGGTGCTACAAGATTAAGTTTTATAACTGATGTACTCTTCAGCAGGAGAAGCTACCTAAAGAAGTATGCAAAATTCCATTCACTGACACCTATCCAAACTTGTTTCGAACTAAAAAAAATTAATGAAAATCGTACAAACAAACCCAGGAACCCTCAACATGAGAAGCTTTCCATTCAGTTTGAGTACTTACCATAAGCAAGTACTTACCATAAGCATCTTCATCTGGCTCTCCACTGCTAGCAGAGTAGTACTCAAGTACTGTTCGGTACACACTGTAGCCTAGCTGCTTATACATATTTACTGCAACCTGGTTTGATACCCTCACAAAAAGATCGACGAAAAAGCCACCCTTTCTGTGAAAAAGATCCCAAAATCACAGTAAGCAGCACCAAGTGAACATGTTTCTAAATAATAAACCATAACTTGTAACGAGATCAAGAGCAGGTCCATTGATGTGGAACACTAATCCAACATCTGTCACACTGTGATAACAGATGCACTCCTTTACCATGGGACAAATCTAGCACAAATTTCATTTTATTTTTGTCATTGACCATTCCTTTACAGCCACTGCAGGTTCAGAATTATGAACTGAAAGAACAGGACAAGCTGAACACCCACACAGGCCTCACAGCCATAAGAAATTATGAAAAAAAAGTATTAATCCACATTTTAGATTGCACTGACTTAGAGACTGCCTCCTTCCAAGTGCACGGCTGGGGGGAGTGATTGAAACAGTCACAACTCGGCAGCTGCCCAACAGAAGACAACCCTTCTCCTAACAAGGCAAATTTCTCAAAATGTGGTACTACTTTCTGATCCTACTGATTGCAACGGGGCTGGGCCACCAGCACAAGAGAGGTCATTCCCCCACGGGTTCATCTGATGCTAAATTAAACTTTCAGGAGGTACAAACGCCCAAGCACAGGACAGGGAGCTAAGATACTGTTCGCCCTACAAAATTTTTCCAAGACTCTGCATGTGGGAATCGCATGGAGCCCAAGATTACTGAACAAGCGTGTTTGAGGCCCTACATGAAGCAGTTGATGTTTCATGAAGCAATTTTCTCTAAAGAAAAGGGCCTTTTACACAGTATCTCTGCGGGAAGTCAGCTTTCATAGAACCCCGAAATCTTACAGAACAGAGCAACATTTTTAAATCTTCTCTAGCTACAGGGAATTTCAGTCAGTTAGAACATTACTTAAAATTCTGGGCATGCTTCATGCAAATCCAATACCTAAGCCATGAATAGGTGTCTGTAGAAGGTTATAGTTTAAAAAATAAATTCAATCTTTAAGTTTTAAAAGATAAATTTAAGGATAGTACTCACTTTTCTGAAATTTCTTCCAGAAGTTCCATCAGTTTAGCAGCCAAACCCAGCCGTCGAAATTCTGGTGCAACAGAGAGAGCAGTAACATGTCCATGCCATTCTTCCCTAGCCACAGAGCCTTCTGCTTTACCCATTACTGTGAACACAGACAGCATCAGCACAGCAACATCTTTAGTACAATGCACCATGCTCTCTACACCTTTAGCAAAACACCCCCCAGTGTATAAATAAACGTTGCAAGGACTGTGGTAAAGGCTCACAGACGGATGTCTATGTTATCACTCGGTGCTTCAGCAACCACTACAAATGTCATTTTGCTCAAGTGTTACAGTTGTTCCTTGAGAGGTTAAGAAAAAAAAAGGAAAAAACTGCCACAAATATTCTGAAAAACCCTCTTTCAGGCATGACTGCCAAATGCAAATTTTAAGGAATTCTTGTAAGTCTTTAACTGAGCAGAATCCAGGATCTAACTAAAATAATTGAGGAATGGAGGGCTGGAAAGCCAAAACTAAGTCACCATCCTGGAAACCGCTGGAGACTTTTGTGACTGTGGAGGAGCAGAGCCTGGGAAGCTTTGCCAACCTGGTAACAGAAGCCAAGGCCCTGTAAATACAGAATGTTTAAAGAAAAAAAACAAGGGGCTGTTGGGGTGTTTTGGGTGCTTCTCTGTATTTCCTCTCCTTTCTACACAGAGCCAAATCAGTGTTAGTTCACTAATGAATACTCACACTTCTACATGGTCCTCTTATAAACATCAGTCACTGCCAATAAGCAACTGATGTTGTAGGTACAGAGAAACCTTCTGTACAGCAAATGCTTTAAGTTTTACTATGTTAAATAATTTATTTCCCTTAAAGACCCTTTATTCTGCTCCCCAAGGGAGGTTGGAGGCAGGAGGGGAGGCACAAACAAACCATTTCCATGTGGAATGATTTCTGCAAAATACAAATATTCCACAGCAAATAAGCAGTAGACACCCAGTCCCAGAACCTTCCCTTACAGGACAATGCCAAACCCAAGCTCAGCATTTTTACTTATGATGACTGACAGCATGAGATCAGAGCTGAGTGCAGGGACTGAGGATTACAGGCTGAGAAAGTTGGGGCTGTGCAGCCTGGAGAAGAGAAGGCTGCATGGAGACCTCATAGCAGCCTTCCAGTAACTGAAGAGGGCCTAAAGCAACTCTTCATCAGGGACTGGATGATCTTAAGGTCCTTTCCAAACCTAACTATTGTATGACTCCATGATTCTACGATTACAGAAACGCTTGTACCTATGTAAAACCTGCTACCACAGCCAAGAGCCCTTGCTGGCTAGCAACACCAAACCAAAAACTGCTGCTGTGAGTCCTACCTAATACCCTAAGAAAAGTATGAAACGGGAAGATGCTATGCGACAGTCCTCTTTCCATGTTGGAAAAGGTGAGGAGTAGGAAAAGCTCCTGCATTACAACCCCCCAACATGCAGCACAGCGACAGGGCAGCGCCGGGACCCCGCACTCACTGTAACCCATCAGCTCGCCGCCGGGCGCCTCGGCGACAATGAAGTACTCAGGCCAGTGCGCCAGGTACTGCAGGTAGAACGGGATCCCGTACTGGGCGCTCGGTTAAGGAGCAATCTGCAGCAGCCCGCGCTGCGCCCCGCGCTCCCCCGGCAGCATGAAGGATACGGTCTCCGTCAGCGGGTCCAGGTTGCTGCGGGGGAAAAACAGCGGTCACCGCGGCCCGGTCCCGCCAGCCGAGCGGCGCCCCTAGCTCCCGCGGAGCCTGAGGGAAGCCACGGCCGAGTGAGGCAGAGCTCGGATCGGGGGGGGCCGGGCCGGGCCGTGGCAGGCCGGTGCTCACATGTTGTTGAAGCAGAAGAGATCATCGCACGTGAAGGCCCGAAGCGTCGTCATGCCAATGCCGGTGGTGGTGAGTGGTGGTGCCGCTTGCTAGTGCCGGTGCTGGTGGTGCCGCGACACCTACCGCCACAGCTCCAGAAGTCGTCATCACCGCCCCGGAAGCGCTCCCGCCGCCCAAAGACCCCTTCCGCCACGGAGAGACGGAAGTAGATCTATATACACCCGCCGGGAGAGCTCCCGCTCGGGGCTCTAGTGAGCAGGGGCGGCGGGGAGCGGCAGTGGGGGGCTCGGGCTGTGGAGGTGGAGCCCGCCTTCGGCGCAGCGCGGAGCGGTGTGGCTGTGGGGCCAAGTGGCGCTCGGAGCCTGGGGCAGCGGCAGGGGGAGCTTGGGCAGCGCCCAGGGGTATCCCCGTGGCGAGCCCCAGGCAGTACGGTTCGGGCGCACAGATCGACACTGCGCGCGGCGCAGACAGCTCCCAGAGAAGGGGAAATGCCGGCGGACAAGAAGCCCTGTGGTGGTACCGTGGTATAGATGCTGTACAGCAGACCCAGGGAAAGCAGTCAAATGTCACAGCCTGTTAGAGAAAGTTACCCTCAAAAGTGGGATGAAGGGTGCCCAAGAGGCAGGCCCTAAGACTAGAAGGACGCAGGGAGGAAACCCCGGGGGGGGGTGGGGGGTGTGGAGGGGGAAACATGGGGGGAAAAGTTAAAAAAAAAAAAGGCAGCCGTTGGCCTGGGATCTTTATGGGCATTGATAACACGCATCTTCTCTAGGAAATGCCTAAGGAAGACCTCTACAGAAGTACACACCGACTGGATGCCTGTAAGAAGCAATGCCTGTCATATCCAGATGGATGGCAACAAAAAGGACCTGAGAAAACACGGGAGGGACACAGCTATGGTGCTAAGTTGCCAGGGGCACGCCTCAGAGTGAACAGTACATAGCAATATATTTCACTTAAGCCAAATTAACAAGGATATTATTCACTGTGGTCCACTTTGTGCAGCCTATTCCCTACCCCTCTGGCCCATGACACCTCTCCAAGCTACGGTTCCTACAATATTTGCCACACTTGTGCCTAAATCATACTTTCTCATTAAAGTAACCTCAAGTGGATGGCAACTGGCCTAGAGGGGTTCAAAGGGAGTAAGAGAAAGCCTTGGGACATAATGGGGAATGCAGGAGGGGTGCTGAACTACTGAGTCCTCGAAAGACTACAAAGGCAAGAGAAAAATTCTGTACATTGTGTATAGCAGCTTGCTATAACACTGCTGGCAGCTACAGCTTCTTGGTGGTTTCTTCAATATGTCAGCTGCGCTTAAAAAATTACTCACTTTCCTAAGAACTAAAAATGCGGGGTGGGGGGAGGGCAGGGGAGGAGGTTTCTGTATGTCACATGGTAGTTAGAATTACGTTTACATGCAACCCACAAAACTGCAGGGGACTGAGGTCATCTAACAGGTACAGGACAGGTTCAACAGAGTCTTGGGCAGAAAAACTCTAGTCTTCATCAGTATCCTGGTTCCAGCTGGGATGGAGTTAATTTCTTCCAAGTATCTGGTGCAGTGCTGTGTTTTGGCTTTAGTCTGAGAACAATGCTGATAACACACCAATGGTTTAGTTGTTGCTCAGTCACTTCCCCTCACCATGGACTTATCAGTCTCTCATGCTCTGCAGAGAGGAGGAACATGAGAAGCTAGGAGGGAGCAGAGACAGGACACCTGAGCTGAACTAGCCAAAGGGGTATTCCATACCACAGCACATCATGCTTGGGATAGAAAGTTGGGGGAATTACCCAGAAGGGGCTGATCATTGCTTGGCCCAGGCTGGGTATCAGTGGGTGCTGAATGATTGTATTGGGCATCACTGCTGGTTAGTGCTGTTTTTTCTCTTTCTCCTTTTTGGTCTTATACTTTCTTCCCTTGTTATTTCCCTTATCATTAGTAGTAGTATTACAGTGTACTTTAGTTATTAAACTGTTCTTACCTCCACCCGTGGGATTTATATTCTTCCGATTCTCCTCCCCATCCATCGAGCGGCTGCTGGTGCTGAGTTACCGGCTGTGTTTAAACCACAACAATCAGTCCAAAGGAACAACAGAGTCCAACAGCACATACTCATAATAATCCCCTGGCAAAATGAGCGATATTTGCAATACCCAGGTTGTGAGTCCTCTCAGAAGCTCTACAACTGCAGACATGAACATTAACAGTAGGACATGGGGTATAAGCCCACCTGACAAAATGTTATTACCTACTCTAAATGTGATCACTCACTCTAGTCACAATACTGACTAAATCTCCTGTGACTTAGAGAAAAGCCTAGACACTTTGGTATACATAGGCCATCACAGAAGGTTAAATATAAGCAAGATTAAATCCACTCTCAAGCCTTCTTGTTACTGGTCTGCAAGTTCCCCTGCACAGCAGAAACATGCCCAACTGGCACAGGTACTCTGCTGAACTTCTCCTGAATTCCTCTTAACTTCTGATTCTCTCTCCAGATTCAAAGGACTTTGTGATTGTGACCTTACTCCTGTTAGTGAACAGGACAGAGTTTGCTCAGTTTCTATTATGCTACATTGCTCTTCCCATCATGTACAAAGACACAGAGTCACTTGTGGCATGCTGATCTAAAGTATCAGCTTCAGTAGTCACAAAGTCACCTCACTGAGTTGTTTCTTTTGCTTCTTGGGTTTTCTCCCCAAGTATAAAAAGAAAAAACAATAAAAGATGTGTGAAGCAACAATATTAAGAATAACTTCACATACTTCATTTATTCAGTTGTATGAGAGGAGAGAAGGAAGACAACTACTGTAAAAAATAGTTCATTTTTCAGGTAATTTTTCTGCTTTGGGAAACAGAGTAGTGTATTTTATCCAGTTACAGAAGCTGTTCCTAAACTGTTGATTTGTTTGGTAAAGAGCTCTTTGATCCAGAAAGCTGCAAACAGCATTACTGACAGTGCAGCTAGGAACAGATTTGTTGTTGTCAGACTGGTTTTTATTTTGGTTCTGAGAACTTATGAATAAAGCTATTTCTGTAGAGACTACCAAATCCAGGCAAATGCTGTATGGACAAACATACTGGTGTTTATGATCTAATACAATGACAAGAACAGTGGAAGTTACATTCTTTTGATAGTTCTTTATATTGATAACAGTTTGATGCTCTTCTTTGTACACATCAGAAATTCTCCACATTCCATCATCCAGTTCTGACAGTGGTCTTCATAAACTTAAGTGTTACTTTTAGTCCATTGCCACTTGACAGTCAGGGACACAGAACATGACTTGAAACTTGGCCTTTAAATTTTAGGAGGTCAAGTCAAGCACTGCCATGCAAATCCATTTTTTTCTGAACCTGTCCTGCATGTATGTGGCTGAGTTTCAATATTTGTACAGGAACAGGCACTCAGATACACAAATACAACAGTATCTTTCTGTTCGCAGTTCCATATGCACGTTTATGGAAATTTTTTTGTTTTAAAAAATGCTGTGTCTCCTTCCTGGTATATGTACATCCTTCTGGCTATTGGCAGAGTGTTTGCACACAGCTTGGTTTATACACTATGACGACGGTTGTTGATCATGGCCACAATGTGTGACAGGTCCAAACTTTTCATCATAACCTCCATGAACTCGTCATCCTTCCTTGCTCCCTCCACAAATTCTTCCAGAGAAAGTTCACCTGTGTCAGGCACAGACAGAGGAAATTACAATCATGTCAATCCACAAGGAGTATGGTAATCTAACTTTAGAGACCACTTACTATACACAGAGTGTTCTAAAGCACCAAAAGGCCTCAGAGAGTCTTTTTTAAGTTCGTATGAAACTTCCCCAATATCCAGGCTACTCCAGCTTCCTTTCCTTCCTTTCCCCACATCAGGGAAAGGTTACGTAAGAAAGAATAGAGGAAGTGCATAGCTAGAGTGGGATCATAGTGGGATCATCCTGTAAATAAGGCTGTATTAGTTGCTTCCTTTTTGGCCTAACCTGTCAAGGCCCTAACCTACCCCATACTTGCTGGTTATCATGTTTAAAAGAAGTGACAGAAGGGAGCTGTGGCAGGCAGAAATAGGTTTTCTGTCCTAGGTCCAAAAGTCCCTGTGCAGGGAAGCAGCTTGGCAGAGTTCTTCTGGAATAACAAAAGGGCATGTCAGAAGATAATAAGCACATGAAGTAGCATGTATGTCTCAGGGACAAATAGCAACTACAGTGGCATTGACCAGCTTTTGACTGACTGGATCACAGTGCTTCATGTGCTTGCTGTACTGCCTATAGCAGACCCAGTGAAGAAACTGTGAACTTCATTAAATTCCAGTTCTTCCATTCCCTGCTGCTGAAATATTTAGGAGCAGTTTGGGACATCTGTTGATATTTCCCACTTCTACCTCTGACATCAGCTACACAGCAACATAAGAAAAGGAAAAAAGAAAAAAACAAACACAAACCAAGCAAATCTGCTCCAAAACCCCACTACCAAACTCATGTGGACAGAACACAGCTGAGACTTTGTGTGGGGAAAAAAACCTGTCATACTGATTATGTATGATGCAAGGAAAGAATGCTTCACAAAATTCATGAAGTAAGCATTCCTGGATGAGAATTCATATAACACACAAATATAAAATGAGGAGGCATAAAGTTCAATCAAGAAAGGAAGACATGGATGTCTCTCTGTAGCACAGAGACTGTCGGATGATGTAGACAAGGCCTTTACCATCTCCATTCACATCAATTTTGTTGAAGACTCGGTTGGTGAACTCTTCTGCACTAGTTTCATGGTCACCACCATTAATAGCTCGAATAGCCTGAAAGAAAAGAGCAAGAATAACAGGAAGCTGCTTAATGGCTCCCAAAAAATGAGAGAGATTCCACTGCAGCCTGCCAGCATTGATTCAGAACAAGGCAGTTATGCCTGGTACCTTCCCCAGACAAATGAACCAGTATCATAGGCAAACACAGCAGAAATATTCAGGCCTTACAGTTGGCACTGAAAGGTGCAAAGGGAGCATGGTTCCCATGAGCAGGGAAACCCAGAGGATCACCCTAAATCTGCTTAGGTAGCAGTTAAGCACTGCAGAAATG